AGGGCACACTCCTTTTCTTCTGGGTGAAAGGGGACCGAATAAGAGCTCCAACGATATCTCCAAGGGATGGGGGAGGTACCTGCAAAGGGTACTCCGACGCTCAAGTCAGTATATGCACGAATATCTAGGGTAAAAATGAACAGTGACATACCTCGTTATGTGTGACCTATTTATAGTGCCTGACGTGGGCCTGAGCATTGTGGGCCTTTTCAGGTGTTTACTAAATTAGGTAATACGATGTTAATTACTTACTTACTAACTTAACCATGCGCTTACCTGCTAATCATAATTAATAACCGCTCTTCACCTATCGGTACGGTATTTCGCCGATCTGATAGGTAAAGGAATGGGGCGCTATTATTAATTGGGTTGATCAACAGTTGTCTAACTATCCTGCCCTACGGGGGACTCTCCGACTCGGTCTTATGCCGAGCCGTTAGTAACATTCGTCCCGGACGTTGGCTGGACCGATGTTTCCGACATCATGGCGTAGGTGTCTGACAGAACGGCACGTGTTGGTCAACGTGACCGATAGGGACCTTCCGGTACAATTCACGAAAGTATTACCTGCAAATAAAATTTCGTAAAAAAATTTGTAGAAACAACGTTTCTTGCAAATTTTTCATAAAAATTTGTAAGAAAAATCGCATGTAATAAAAGAAATTCTAGTATTGAGAAATTTGTAATTTACTTTGAGGATTGATACAAGAGTTCTGAACTTATAGACAAAATATGCTGTAATATTAATCACATTGATATCACTAACCAACCGATAGATGTTAATCGCACTTCATTTGTGCCTTGTTGACTTTGGATGATGATTTAATTTATCTGATTCAATTCCATAATCCAATTTGTAGGTTTCCTATTTATGGCCCTGCCAATCTAATTCTAACAACTTGGATGATGATATTTGATTCCATCGTCTAATTTGCTGGTTTCCTATTAACCCTGCCAATATAATCCCAACAACTCCATGGTTTTAGTTGCCTTAAAAAAATAATTCTTTGATGATAGTTTGGGCAAGCCACTTAATTTTGTCTCATTTAGTGGAATTAATTCTCAATAAAATATGCATTTAATATTTACCGCATAACATACACAAACTCGGTTGCTCCTGTATATAAGTAGCTTAATTTCTACAACCTTCCATCCTCGTTAATCAAGTCAAACAACTTTTAATGTTTCACCCAAGTTAGAGAGGTAAGATATGATTAGCTAAAAATTTATTATCTAGATTTCCTAGTTACATGATGATTTATATATTGATTTTGTAGAAGCAAGAAGATAAGAAGAATACATATGAGGCCAGCAACGTTTGAGTTGATACTCCTTATGGTGTTGAGTGTATTGATGTGCTTGGCCACGGACAAGAAGACGCCTTCATGGATGAAATGAAGATATGAAGAAAGAGCAGTTTCCAAACCATAAAAATGAAAACAATAACCCGGGTTTTGCGTATGGTGCATGGAAGCAGTGTGAATAAGCATCATTACATCCCCAGGCAGAACTTCAACATCAATATTGTTATTGATGTTGGTGATAAAATTATATGTTGTTTTCTTTTTGTTTGTTTGAGGCAGAAGGTATATCTTAGATATGGTTCATTGAGGTCTAGAAATTAAATAGAAGATACTATGCCTTTGTAGCTTCGGTGTTGTGTACAGCTTGTCTTGTTCTAGTTCTATCAACTACAGTTATAAACCTATCAGTTTCACTTGTCTAACCGAAAACCGGATTGTTAATTTTTATCAATCAAAAACATAACTGAAGTTGAAAGGAACACCCGATATGAAACATAATTTTTCTACGTATATATGCTCCAAATAGGTAATACAACAAGTTGACAAAAAAGAAAGTATGACGAATATAGGATGCAACTTTTTCCTTCTAAGAGAAATAAACCGAATATAATGAGCAAAACATATCATTAGGTAATACTCCATCACCATGATAGCCAAGTCATACATAAATTGCATTTCAAATCCAGATTGTCACGGAACAAGATAGAAACAAGTTATGGGTACGTATCATCCTTAAAGGAGAAACATAACATACAAAAGAGATTGCCAACTTAAGACAATACTCCTCTTTTACACGTATTAATTCGAGTTGATTAGCCATGATAACACAAACACTTTAAATAGCAGAATGAGAAGAGGTGCAAATTAATTCCTTGATGACAACAACTGAGACCGTAGTAAGCTGATTTGCCTACACAAAGGCTAGACAAATTCAATTTAATTTCAATTCTAACAAGTGATTAAGTCTCTTAATTAAGAAGCATTCTGCACATAGCCCATTGTAGACCCCTAAAATTGTCCGGGTCGGAAA